CCCCCCAGGCCGGCCCCCGCCGCTCACCGCTGCGCCCCAATTACCTAGTTAGGCCCCAAAGTCTCCGGTCCGGACTCGGTGGCGCGGCGGCAACTTCCACTCGCTCCCCCACCCCCCCGGCGGCGGCGGCGGCGGCGGCTCCTCGGGTCCCTTCAATTATCAGCTGAGCCGCAGCACCGCGCGGCCGTGCGCCTCCGCCGCGCCGCCTCCCTCCCCGCCGCCCGACACGCTCGGGGACTACTTCGCCCTGGCCCAGCCTCGGGCTCGTCCGCGGGACCGGCCCGCGCCTACTCGCGGGCCATCACATCGCCCCTCCCCGCCCAGCGCCAGGCTCCGCTCTCCGGCAGGCCTCGGATCTCCTCCCAAGCCCTGCGAGGGACCAGGAAGGAGACGGTGGCGCTCCGCTCCGTATCCCTCCGCCGGGGTCACCCCCTCCCCTCGGTGGCAGCAGGAACTAATTCTCCTTCGGGTCACCCAGGACCTGGACTTGGAAATTTCACGGACAAGGGCTCCTCGGGAGCCTTGAAAGATGAAACTATCTCCCCGAATTACAAGCCCTCCGACACCTCAAAAGCAGGGTTCGGTTAAACTAGGGCTTTGACCCCCTGACCCTAGTCAAGCCCCGCCCCTTCCTGGTTGTCTTAGCGACGGCGGTGGCGTCCCAAGATGGCGTCGTGGCTGCCGGAGACTCTCTACGAGACTGTAGGGCAAGGCCCCGCGCCCAGCAAAGACTACTACCAGTTATTGGTCACCCGCTCTCAGGCAAGTGCGAGCCGCGGTTTACCCTCTCCCATGACTCCCTACCCGGCCCGGGTGGGCCCCAGGACGCGCGCCGCGCTAGGCCGAGAGCGACCATGGCCCGCCGGAAGCGCCCAGTCCCGGCCTGGAGCTGGAGATTGCCCTCGTCACCTCGGCCGGGCCCGCTGTCCCTTCTCTCCCCTCTCCTCGATCGTCTCCGGCGAGCCTTCGGGGCCTCCCCACAAAGCCGCCCGCTCCCTTCGCGCCTCCCCAGCTGCCTACCCGCAGCGTTCGCACCGCGCGCCAAGAAAAACAGGCGTCCCCGGCTTGTGTGCCGCCTCACCTCAGCGTGGGAAGGAGGGAAAGAAAGACTCAGCCAAGTGTCCCGAGGAGGAGCCGCCGGGGAGGGGAGGGCGGGACGGTCCCTTTTCTAGGATAGAATTTAATGGTGGAGACTTTTTTTTAAAAATCTCATGAATACCCCGGCCCTTAGGACTCCCACGGCCACAGCAGCACTCCTTTCTTGCCGGCAGCACCGCGTGATTGAGAGCTCCCTTACCTTGTTGGAGCCCCTTCTGTCCCATCGAAAGTGTGCGGGGCGCGGGTACAAAAATGTTTCAGTTGCTCTGTGCCTCGGCCCCACCCATAATGACATCTGCTTCCCAACAATGAGAGCGAGGATTATGCTACTGCTGGAGTAAAGTAACCTTTGGCCTGTTTGGGTTTTTAGTTACCAAAGGTGGGCTTCGGATGTTGCCCATGGAATAATATAGCTGAGCTGGCTTCTGAGACCTGCGTGGTCTTAGACCTGTCTTTAAGCTATTGATGTATCTCGAGTTTTAAATAGATTGTCCTATAAAATGAAATACAGAGCTTTTTATATTATTTAGGTGCGGATGTTGATTATTTGATCAGTTTTTCCAGGGGCCCTCAAATAAAGGAGAAATTAGTTGATTTTCTTATTTAAGGGCATCTTTTAAAAAAATAAAAGGAATAATTGTACAGTTTATTTTTAAAATCTAAGATTTAGAAATATTACAGATATAATATCAGCCTGTCAAACTTTTAATTTTTTGACTTTTCAAGAAATTTTTACACATATAATTAGGGATTTCTTTAATGCTGAAGGTCACTGACTCTTCCATTAGCTTTTTAAATCTGATCCTAACAGTTCTTCACTTTCGGATGTGAGTGATAAAAGCATAACGTGGTAGGCCTACCTCGTTTCCTGTTTTCATCTACTGTAGATCAGACTATTCTAATTTTTTTACTTCATAGTCTGTCCTATACTCTGTCAATAAAACTCTTCTTTTGAGCATTTGTTTTTCCTTGAGGGTCTCACATCACAATTATACTACATGTTGAAAGCCTCAACAAGTTAATTATCTCTTTACTTTTTTTGTTTTAAGAAATTAACCTTACCAGCACGCTGCCATTAGTTTTTCTTCAAAGTGTTTCTTTTGTTGGTGCTTCTCAGGTTGTTTTCCTTTTTTCTGTTGTTGTATTTTGTTTTGTTTTTTGAGACGTCTCCTAGTTCACCCAGGCTGGCCTGCAGCTCTAGATCCTCCTGTCTCAGCTTCCGAAGTGCTCAGCTTCTAGGCATGTGCCACCATGCCTGGCTAAGACTTTGTTTTCAGGTCTGTGTTTTATGAAAGCTTCACCCTCACTCCCTCAGTATTCTCTCTTTTTTTTGTTTTTGCTTTTTGTTTTTTGAGACACAGTCTCTCTGTAGTCCAGGCTGGCCTTGAACTCACTACATAGCCCTAGGTGACCTCAAACTTCTGGTGATGGTTCTGCCTCAGCCTCCAAAGTGCTGGGATTATAGGTATGCACCACCACACCCAGCCTCTCGATTCTTTTTTAGTAGCTAAAAAAAGTTTTTTGTCAGATACTGAGGGTAAAATGGAGGGCCCCTCGCATGCTAAGCAGGCATTCTATCACTAAACTATATACCACCAGCCCCCCCCAAACTTCTTTATTTCTAGTCTTTCTGTCAATGACTTATATATAAAATCCTTTTCAAGATCTAATCCATTTTCTTTATCAAGCATGCTGAACAAATCCACTACAGTTCCACTAGGGAAAGTTCATCTCAAATATGATTAACTCACCCTTATTTTAAAGTAAAATTTGTTGTAAAAAATAGCAAGCCAAAGAATATACTTTTCAGTCATACTTTTGAGAATATGCTATTTTCTAACCACAAGACAATTTTTTGCATCTCAGTACAGGAAACCAAACACCCAGTAAGAGGTAGCCTGACATAAATAAGTACTAACGGACTGGAATTAAAATGTGTTTTATAAAATGCACTTTTTTCTGGAGTGGCTTTCCACAGTTACCCTCTCCTCACTTCTGCCTTCATCTCAAACACTGTTGCATATTATCCAGCATAGGAACTTAATTCAGGTAGGTGTTTCCATCGTGTAGGTTCTGTTTTTCACCGCCTTTGGGGTTGTTGGCTTAAAATCCAAAATATTACACATTTAATATTAATCCGAGGGCAAATATCTCAGGCATGCCATACCACCTTTGGCGTCATCCAGAATATAATTTTTTAAAATTTTAAACAGAAAAAAGTAAAAATAACAAACAATTTCAAAACAGGCTAATAGGAGAGTGACAATAATTAATACGTGAAGTGTTGTTATATTAATAATAGTTATTTCAGAGTACAAGATACAGGCATGAAATACTGTCCAAAAAATATTAGCACAAAACTTTCTTTTGAGTGAACTATGAGAAACTGGCTGTGTAACTATCGTAACTCTCTTGTGTATACATATATTTTCTCTTTTCTCTTCCTTCCTTTCCTCTTTCTGCCATCACCATTTTTCTTTTCTTTTGAACAGTTTTTTCCCTGTTCACAATATCTGTTGCACATATTGGATCTTATTCACTCCTTAGTTTCCCACACTGATGAGACAGTATGATATTTATACAAATGGGTCTGATTTATTTCACATGTGAGTATAGTCTCCAGTTGCATCCGTTTACCTATAAAAGTCTCCAGTTTATCTTTCTTTATGAGTGAGCCGTACTCCATTGTATAAAAAGCCCACATCTTTTTTATTCATTCCTCAATTGATGGGCATTTGGGCTATTTCCAAGATTTAGCTATGACAAATTGTGCTGCTGTAAACATGGGTGCACATATATCGCTGTGGTATTATATTTTTAATTCTTCTGGAAAGATACCTAGAAGGAGAATAACTTGGTTGAATGGGGTTTCTAATCCTAGTTTTTTAAGGAATCTCCACACTGATTTCCACAGTGGTTGCACAAGTCTACACTCCTACCAGCAGTGGAGAAGCCCTTCTCCCATATCCCTGCCAGCAGTTGTTATTGCTTGGTTTCTTGATGATAGCCATCCTTGAACATATAAAGAATTGAAAAAAAATCAGGTCTCCAAAATTCAAAGACCCAATCCAAAAACGGGCATCTGAGATGAATGCACACTTCTCAAATGAAGAAAGACAAAAGACAAATAAATATATGAAAAAATGTTCAACATCATTGATCATCTGAAAGATGCAAATTAAAACAACACTGAGATTCCATCTCACTCCAGAATATAATCTTATAAAGAAATATTTCCTAAAAAATAAAAATCAATAAATTTTGTTTGCTTTCTTATACACATGAAATGGAAAATATACTTTTATGTGTATAGAAATGTTCTCCATTAACAATTCCAGTTTGAAGATAACAATATGTAATACAACAACCATTGTTAATTTCTTATCACCTTGTCTGAAATTCTGTATTGCTTCTATTGTTTGGGTGTTGTTTTGTTTATATCTGTTTGTTTGTTAATGTGTTTTCATTCTTTATCTTTAAAAATCAAAATAAATAAAAATAAAAATTAAAAAAAAAAGAAACAGAGGGGCTGGGGATTTAGCTCAGCGGCACAGCGCCTGCCTGGCAAGCGCAAGGTCGTGAGTTCGATTCCCAGTACTGGAAGAAACAAACAAACAAACAAAAAACCAAACAAACAAAAATAAATAAATAAAAATAAAACATTCAAAGCTGGGCATAATGATGCACATTTGTAATTCTAGAGTTCCAGAGGCTGAGGCAGGAGGAGTGCCTTGAGTTCAAGTCTAGCCTGATACATAGTGAGATTCTGTCTCACAAAACAAAACAAAACAAAAAACTTAATGCCATGTTGTTGACCTTTGTCAACAGATTTTTACTTTTATTTTTTATTATTTAAAAAAAAAACTTTCATAATTTAGCGTGGGTCCAATAGAATTAATTTTCCAATCTGATCTTTATAGTGGTGATTCCAAAGCTAAGAAAAATCAGTGCACTGCTTTCTAAATCAAATATTACAACTGTCTGGGTGTGCTGGTACCCGCTGACAATCCCAGCCCTTGGGAGGCCGGCTTAGGATCACAAGGAGTTTGAGGCCAGTCTGGGCTACATCATGAGTTCAAGGCCAGCCTGAACTATGTAACTATTTTTTGAGACCCTTTCTCAAAAAACCAAAAATAAATAAATGTATAAAACCCACTTATTCTTATTCATTTTATTTATTTATTTATTTATTTATTTATTTTTGTCTTTTTGAGACAAAGTCTCACTATGCAGTTCAGGCTGGCCTTGAGCTCACTTTGCAGCCCAGGCTGGTCTCAAACTCGCAAAAATCCTCCTGCCTCAGCCTCCCGAGTGCTGGGATTACAGACATGCACCACTACGCCTGGCTTCACTCATTTTAATAGTATGCATTTTTTATATATTAGATTAGCTTTTTTTTTTAATTCCAAAGGAAGTTCATGAGGAATTGCCAAGTTAATGAATAATGAAGACACTTTAAACTCTAGAAGTAAAAAAAAACAAAAAAATCTCTTTCTAGTCCATAGTACAGCAGGGTACCATTATCAGTATTTTGCTCTTAAGCTGGGAATGTAGCTCAGTGGTAGGGCACTTACTCAACTAGCATGGAGGAACCCTGCCTCAATTTTATCCCTAGCACCTTGAAAGGAAGAAAAAGGAATTATGTGTCTTCTTTTTCTCCAAAT